ACTTTACAAATTTCGTGCATCCGAAGCGCTTTTCTGAATTTACCTTTACCAGGAACGCTAAAAGCCGAATTTTTTAAACCAAGGATATATGAAAACCTAAATAGTCAAAGATCTATATGACCAAAAAAGGCCTAAAATAATAGCTAAATCCAAAAATCTAGCGTTCAATTTTACCTGAGGGAGTTGAAATCTAAATGTCTTAATAATTTCTAAATTTATAAACGGACAATTTAAGAAAGGTATACACTGTATGCGTCAGTGCTGTGTAAATATAACTACCTTCACATATGCTAAGTAATATTTAGTAAAACTCTTAACGTTTTAAATTCCAATTCCTCCAGCAGGAGAATTTTGAGATATGAAGCGAGGTTATTGTATATAACATGGTTTATGTAAGTCTGAACGCGCTTAATGTAATCAACTAAGCAACTGATTTCTGAAAAAAAATAAGAATAAGGCTGTTTCTTCTTGAAAAGCCTAAAAGATCAGTTTTTGTCATATGAATTGAAAAAAAAAACGCAAATGGTAAATCTTTCAAGAGTCATTTATATTTCTAATAAGTTCTAAAGAACAACTTTAAAGACCTAGATTTATAATGTTAAAAAAGCCATTAGTAGCTTTACTATTCAGAAATATAAGTACCATGTTCACACTATCTGAGCGTTAATAGTGTATCAAAACAGATCAGTGTTTCCAAATAAGATTTAAATGGGCACTTCAACACTTCATATTATAGAAATAACTATGTTTCAGTTTCATTTTCTGCGATAATTACTATCATAATGATATTAAATCAATATGTAAACCCAGTCTGAATAGTGAATGTATGTACAACAGCTACATCAAACAATAGACAGATTGGCTTCGATTCAACAGCAAATGCTATATAGCTAATAGTCGTCCACACGTCCACTGAAGATTATTTGAAGTTTATTGTAGGAGAGTTTATGAGCGCATACTTCAAACCGATAGCTTTTAAGATACTAAAATTCGATAGACAAATATGGAGTTTTCGTGTGGAATATGTATTTATTTCAACGAAGAATTTTTCAAAACACACTAAATGAATAACCAATACCATACAAAAAAAGATAAATCTGATGGAAAGCATCTAAACTTTAACTGTATTAAAGCACGCTTTTAAAGTCCTCAGTTAATCATGGCTTGCTGAATTACCAGGCTAATTTCAGGTTTATTACTATTTATAAAATTGCATTATACCGTGCATCAAATACATTTAGTTTGCCAAAACTCGATGCATACATTGAAAAACTGAAATGAATAAGAATTTTTACCAAAAAGTGAAAATGGATACATTTCTGTATTTTATGTTCGTTTCAGCGGAGATCCTTTAATCAAGTTAAAATCATCGCATAAAAGTTTTTTTTGTGTCGTTGCATAAAGTACAAACAATATATATAGTTTCAACAATCTTGAATGGAATACATAGAAGACCAAATGCCATTTATTTCATCATTACTATGGTAGCTATTTTGTTTAGACCCTGCTGCCGGGTAACCTGGTTAGTATTATCTATGTTCTTAGTTGTTATCCCCTTATTCAGATATGTCTTTGAAAGAATGGAAAAAATAAACTAAATAAATCTTGAAAACCATACGTTTTAAACACATCGAACGTTATTATTTCATGTAGCTATTCAATGAGCGATTCAAGTCGAAAATGTCTGAGTTTGTAGTTTTCTTTGCGCTCCTCGTCCATGTGTTTTATGCGAAAAACATTTAACCAAACTGCCAGACTATACAGATCTTCATAAATTAAACTGAAGATTCTTTTATTGAGAATAGAATGACATTTTAAGTAGCAAATTGACGTAAAAGAATAACCACTTGCAACTGTGAATTCAAGCTGTTCTACTACTGTTTTCAATAAAGGAAAGTCTTATCAAAGAACTATTTAGATAGAAATCATAGTCCCACATATGTGTTATTCAATGCTTAAAAGATTGATAAAAAGATGGAGAGATTCTTTTGGACTCTGTTGGATAGTTGTCTTATTGTCAGTCATACCACGTCTCCTTATATTATAACAATGAGTCGGATGTCATAAAGTTACAGTCCACAGAAAGTCATGTCACCCTACCCCGACATATTTCTCTGACTCTGAAAAAAAAATAAAAAGTCGCATGCGGAGAAGCAATAAGTATATCAATTTCAAGTCTTTATGAATCCAAAATATCTTGCACTCGGGCGTGTAAGGCTACCACGAGACCATTGTGGCGTATAAATGAAAAAAGTAGAAACTACACTATACTATATAGTAATCAATTTGACTACAGGAACATAAAGCAAGTTCATGATGTCATTCAAACTGTACTGGTTAGTCGGTTTCACAAAAAAAAACTTACGACTAAGATTGATCGTAAGTATGCTGAATTGTTCATGACTTACGATCAATCTAAGTCGTAAGTTTTTTTGTGAAACCGACTCCTGTGGAGTCTCCAAATGAGTGTCGTAATACTTTAATGACATTTATATCGTAATTATAAATTTTGCGATGTTACTAATGACTAAGCTATCAAGTAATACTTTATGGAATAAACTGAAATCATATTTGACTATAAAGAGGTAAAACCCTGATCATATAGTGTTATGTCGAGGGACGCACGATAATTACGATTGCTATTTATAACAAAAGTTTTGCGGTGCAATGTGAGATGCATTAGAACTTTGAAGGTAGAATTCATCACTCCCTAGAGGTTTTTGTTCATGTTTGATAGATTGTAAAATACATATTGCAAGCGATTTCATTTAGATTTTATTAGATTAAAATACACAAATGGGAACTTATGCATTGTGTCAAGGTTTGTAAAATACGGGTAATGGAAAGCAAAACAAACATAAAATATTAATACAATATTGCAAGGTTTGATTACTTTACAATGCTTGAATTACGAAATCTTGTAATTGTTAAGCTGAAATATTTTTCTATTCCAAGGATTATTGAACTATGGTCACATTGACCTTTTTGTCGTGGATTAAAATCTTTGCGAAAAGGGCGTCACGGTTTTTCTGTTCGGGGGCACTAAGGGCAATGAGGTGTCTCATTTGAACAGAGCTATTATTTTAATATAAGAAGATATTTCCATGTCATAGATTTTTCGTTTGTTTTCCGCAAGTACGCTTTACTTTCATATTGAAATAATGGAAATAAGAGTATGGAATATTAATTAAGTATTTTTTTTTATCACAGCAAGGGCTTCATCTCGGAGCAAAAGCTCACACTTGACAACAAATTCAAGACGATCACTAGCCTCGGTTTGAGCTAAATATTTTTTTTTAAGATTTCGATTACTCTTCATCTGTGCATCAAATAAAACAACAGTGGTTTGATATCAGCTTATTACAGAATAAAACTGGGAAAGAAATACAAAAAAAAAAAACAACTGCGACAACATTCTTTATGTCATTGTAAATAATATGACCAAACAAACCAAAACAAAGTAGAATAAAAGATAAGAAGGTTGTAACAGAAAAACAAATTAGCATCACAAGTTTTAACCCCTTGAACAGAAGTCTATTTAACGACATTAACATTACAATTCACATTTATATATAGGGAAAAAGCAGCATAAATCAAACGTTAACCATAGGACGTTTCTTCTTTGCAGAGAGAACATATGACCTTCTTTCATGATCATATAAAGGCGATACTTCTGGAAAGTTTTTATTGAGAGTTAAGAAGCAGTTTCCAATATTGACATTTATATTGGGATTATATTGGCTACACAAACGTCGGAAGCAGTAAATTGGCAGCTTTATACGCACTAATTGTCCATCGATATACTATATATTACAGCATTTATTTATGACCGGACATAACAACCCAATTAAGTGAGGTTGCAGTGTTCCTGGTCAAATGATTCTTTGATAGACTTTCCCATATCTTTGAGCAAAAGTGTTACAGAAGATTGACTGTAAGGTTGTATTGTCAGTATACTAAGGCCGATATTTTGTTCTGTCATTTCAAGAATATGTAAAAGATTTTTTTTTTAATGATTTCTCTCTTCTGCGCCTATATTTACTGATGACTTGCTTGTTAGTTGTATAAGATGGACGAATATTTAATCCCTTTTACAAATAAATCATGATCCCTGGACGTGGACTTTGTTAAGGTCTATGGTATCAGATTATTCACCAGCATCACATTTTAACATTGTGTTTAATAGTGTCAAGAACTATGAGTCATGGTAAAGAAGAGACATGGTATATGAAGTCAGAACAGAAAATCCCTATACGCGCTTGGTAAAAACCCCGAAGTAAAGGAATTCATGCATTCATTGTTGTTCTTCATCTCAATTTCGCAATGAGGTCTTCAACTTGAAGTTCCAGCTTATTCCTCTCTGTAAGTTCTAGACGACACATAACGCCAAATTGAGTAGAATTATTTGATGGATGATCTGTTTAATAATGTGTTGTATTAAGGTGGTACCCAACACCTTGACTAATATTAATTTGGCTCGTTTAATTTTCATAAAATTTTGACAAAATGTTTACTTTGACCCTTTGACAAAAATATAAAAATTTCAAAAAATTTGAACCAACCACTTTATCAGAAAAATTTCGTTGGTTATATAGCAGTTTGACAAACACTAATTTTGATCATTGAGAAGCTTAATATTTCCTTAACAATACAACGAAATTAAAACGTTTAGTTGATTTTTACAGAGTTATCTCCCTGTAGTGTTAGGTACCACCTTAACATCAGCGTTTGGTAGTAATTGAGGCGAAAATAATATTTTTACTATACTAGGCTTTTCTGGCAATATATAATTCTTAGTAGGTAATTCAATATTATCAAAGTATGGTCACGATTTAATCCCCCATTTGATCAAAAATTCTGAAATACCGCATGATGCTACAGATATAATTATTTTTAAAATTAAGCTTCCCTTTATAAAAACATGAATCTGATATTTCTCTTCGTTGTATGTTTGTATTATAAATCAAACAGTATTAAAAAAAGTCGAATAAATGACGTACCTGACAGAGGACGACATGGGAACATGATGTCCATTTTCAACTTGTATTCTAGCTTTATGATCTGATACTATTTTCTCGTAAGTAGAATTTTTCCTGCGTCTAGTAACACATCTTCTCCAGACAACAAATGCTATAACAGCTCCAAGTAAGGTACCACATACAGCCCCAGCTATTGGTATTACCAAAGGCACTACAAAAAAAAAACACTTAGCTATAAGGAGGTTTACACATATAGCTCCCGCTACTGGTATTACCAAAGGTACTACAAAAAAAAGAACAACACTTAGACAGCGATTAAGAGGTTTCCACATACGGTTCCATAATGTTATTAACTAAAGTATAAAGTTTAATCTTGGCGTTGCACGAGATCGTGTATTCTGTACTGTTTTAACGATTTCGGATGAAATCTTCTTTGAAGTACAGCAACCGATATTTGAGTGTAGTACTGCATGCTTTCGTATCAGCATATTAGCTACTTTAAGCTAGCTTTCTGTTTCAATAACTGAGGTAGTCTTTGAGACGGTTTAATATTATTCATTTTGTTATTATATAGTTTATTATACTTTCCTTTGCGTTACTTTGATTAGTTCACTGATTAACATTGGGAGGATTTAGATCTAAATACGATAGTTTAACCCTGCCGCATATCCACGTGCCTAGCCTGAGTCAGGATCCTCCTCAGTATTTTTTTTTTTATGTCATATCATAATGTTCTTGTTAATTGCAGGATTTAGTTTTGATACAAATCTTTGATATATTTTTTCTCCTTTTTTTAAACTCTGGACGATTAAAAAGCTTGACGTATTGTAGTGACACAACTCTATTGTTGAAGGCCGTATGTCACACGTGAGATGTCTTTTGGTTATATGTGTCATTAAAGTTTACCCTACATCTTTATTGTTGAAGGCTGTATGTCACACGTGAGCTGTCTTTTGGTTATATGTGTCACTAACGTTTACCCTACATCTTCATTGTTGAAGGCTGTATGTCACACGTGATATGTCTTTTGGTTATATGTGTCATTAACGTTTACCCTACATCTTTATTGTTGAAGGCTGTATTTCACACGTGAGATGTCTTTTGGTTATATGTGTAATTAACGTTTACCCTACATCTTTATTGTTGAAGGCTGTATGTCACACGTGAGATGTCTTTTGGTTATATCAGAGAATGTCTCTGGTTATATGTGTCATTAACGTTTACCCTACATCTCTACATTTATATTTTTTCAGTAACAGTAGAATGTAGATGCGTTCAACTACTAATCAGTTGATGTATTTAACAAAAACAAGAACAAGAACAAATAAGCATAAAAAAATCTTTGCCAACTCAAGACAAACTGTGCGGAATAATAAGCTTCCAGAATGAATGATAAATCATATTTCTGAAACGTCAATACATTCATGTCAAACTGTTCTAAGTTTTTGAGAAACCTGATGTTTTGAATTGTTTTATAAGTTATATGATTAATGTTTTGTTTTGTAATATTTAAGATATATCGTTTTATCTGAGTGGTCTTTATTTCACTCAGTGAGGTTCTAACAAAGCAATCATATTGTCTTCTTAAAATTAAGACATACACAATGCTTTCTTCATTCTTATTAAAAAAATAGCAATTTATAAAAAGTTGAGGTAATGTTTTATTTTATAATAATTAATTGAATTATAAAAATTAAACAAAAAGTCAAAAATTTGGTACGTCAACTACAATATCGAAGGTCTTTTCATTAAAATCATTCAAATTAATCTTTAAATATTTTGGAATCGAAATCTAATTCATACCGCTTGAGGAATATATATATAAATTGTCGCAGTAATTCAAACTTATTACTCTAACTTCTTTTCAAATCGATATATGCCAAACGTTTTAAAAGATGCTAAGCAGAACACACTCGAAAGACCAGGTCTATACTATTGTCTGTGAGGCGACATATGCAGTTTTGGTATTAATAAATTGGCAAATGTTAACCATTGTTATCATTGACTAACATCAAAGAAAGACTCGCTAGAATCTTCGATAAAGTGATAGTTGTCAGGGAAAACGGAGGGTTTCCAAGTCGATTGCAAACCCTATCAAGCAGTCATTATAGTGTTTTTAATGTATAACGCATTTGTAAAACAATTTATTATATGATCCTTAAAACGTTTCCTATCCTATAATAATGAACATTACATTATTCAGTCAATCAACCTATGTATCACCCGACAGGCATCCACCTCAAAGTTTTCATTTTTGATGTCTACACCTGGTGGTAGATGTTTTTGCCACCCGAATCAGTTATTTAAAGTCTGCTTATTTTTTTACAGTATGTTAAACCAATATGAAAATACTCTAAATTATATTAAAAGGGTTTCTAACAATTGAAAAATTCACGAATTGTTCACATACACACCGAAGTAACATATCTAGTCCCCACGAGATAAAATAGATTTAAATTTAGCACTTCTAGTATGGTAACGAAAAAGAGTAAATAATTTTAACTGCTTCGAAAAAAAGTCTAAGGTTCCAAGGTTTAGTCCTGCAAAACATTTTGTGATTCATTTTTATGGCACCGAGAAAGTTTTTCCGTGCTTACAGAAAGTAAAATTACTCCCAAAATAAAACGTTGGACAATACATGATGTTCTGAAGTCACTCAAATGTGATTTGTGACTTTTAATTGCTGCAAGAATGTGTTAATAAATTAGCTTATCTTTGAAGGAGTTACGCATAGAAAGTACATCTTAACGATATTCCCTGGTAAAGCAATAACATTAACGGTCCCAATGTTTATACATCAGATGCGCACTTTGACAATTGGTGTTTCTTCAGTGATGCCCGAGGCTAAAATATTTTAAAACCCCAAATCTTAATACAAACGTTGAAGGTTAAAATGTGGCATAGAATGTAAACTGATTACCAGAACTATTTTCATAACTTCAACTTTAAGACATATACTTGTTAACAACAGTATCTGTTGAAAATTATATAATTGAAAAAAATTCAAAGATAAAAATGAAAATGTATCATATCAAATGTGAAGTAAATTTGGTATGACATCACATTGATATGACCCTTGGAATCAACATCCATCTCGTTATCTAGTTATATTTCAGGCTTGGCTAATAAACTGGATTATGTTTTATTTAATAAAACTACATTAAATGTGAGAGTACAAACAATTTTCTTGCATGTAGGACTGAACATTGAAAGAACTGTTTCGTGCACTATTTGTTTTAACACTTTGGTAATAAGTCTGTATCAATAATATAATCAATTACTTATATATTCAAATCAAATCAAATCAAATCAAATCAAATCAAATCAAATCAAATCAAATCAATTATTTTATTGTCGTATAAACTTTACAGTTTGTGACCAACATGTATTAACACAGTAAACATATATACATACATATCAAACAAACACAATAAAAACAGCATCAAAATTTATAAAAACAAACAAGCTGTTAAGAGTCCCCTGCCCTCAGTTCTAATGACTTTTTCAAGAAGGATCCGAACTTATTTGTTTGTAAAGGCGTTGATGGATTTAGTAAATAATGATTTTTTTCTTCTTCATTTAAATTATTAAAGTTATTATTTTCAGTACATATGTGTTCAAAAAAGGCATTTTTTAGTGTTTTATTATAATCACAATAGAGTAAAAAATGTTTCTCATCTTCTAGTATTTTACATTTATGACAAAGTCGTTCCTCTCTTGGGATTTTAAAATATCTCCCCCTTTCAATTAAGAGGGAGTGATCACTTAGTCTAAATTTGGTGATCAATCTCCTTATCTGAAAATTAGATATACTTAGATAAGATTCTAGTTTGCAATCTTTTTTGAAGTTTTTTATATAGATAAAATTTACTTTTATCATCAATATATTGTAAATACATTCTGTACCAGAATAGGACAATAAAAGAAGGGTAACTCAAATTTATAAAACAGCAAAGAATGTGATCAATATGCAATAATGTTGTTATTCTCACTGATTCATATAGATGATGATAATGATGATGATGATGATGAATGGCTGCTTATAGTCCAGCGGCAAATTAATATGCATATTCAGGACGATCGCGAGAACAAGTAATGTAATATGAATATTAACCCTGCATTGTACAATACCGACATGCTGAGTCGGATTTTTAACGTGCTAGTTCACAAGGTAACAGTCCGGAGGAAGCCATGTTACCTTACCCTGACACATTATTCTGACTCCGAGTCGACCAGTCTTTGCTCTTACTTCTTAATGCCGCTTGCTTAGCGGAGAAGCAGCACATACCAATTTTAAAGTCTGGTTTGACCCGATATAGAGCTATTCAATCTATACAAAACAACACATTTAGTAGGTTCGATATTCTAGAAACAATCGAGATACATTAGTATTAGCGTGCCGAATCCAGCAGAAAATACAGATGTCACTATAGAATGGATACTAGCTCATGTTGGTATACTAGAAATACTATAGACTTAACCTTAAACTTAGTACAAACGTGTTAATTGCAATAACAACATCAATAAGTAAGAAAAAATGACAGGCTAGGTGGGACAACTCTTGGTTCACACGGAATCGTTCTTTCAATCCTACAGTAAACACATAGCCTAATTTCTACAAAAACTATCAAAAGATTAATGTTAGATAGCACAGTATTACCAGGCCATCTAGACCAATACATCCATAGAAGATATATAACATGTACTGTTGAAAAGTAATAAGCACTATAATGCCAGTCAATAACTACAGATAGACTTAGGTAATGTCCAAAAAGAAATTAATGTTTGGTTCAGTGCATCATCACACCATATAAGCGGCTATTATTAAGGTAGATAAACTAGGATCTGTGTTCGCGATTGCAATTACAAGCTATTGTTTATCTATGATGTACTGCAGATTTCTTTCTGCTCTCCCAAATTGTCATTGCAATACAATAGATTTTGCAGTTGTGTACGTCAGATTTTGATTTGTGTGACGTGTTGAATCTGCTATTCCGACAGCTGGTAATTTGTTCTCTTTTCAAATTTGTTTAGGGGTGTAAGGTTGGTATTCCAGAGTCCGAAGTGTTTGTGGTCAACAGAAAACATTCGCAAAAAAAAAAACAGATTTTTTCTTAACTTAGATAAAAATGGAAAAAAAAAAATTTTGTATTATGGATAAGATTTTAAATACCTATAAGAAATTTCTATTCAAAATGTGGCATTGTTGCA